CTTCCCCACAGGCAAGATGTGTGGGTCCAAGAAGCAAGGCCTGGAGAATAGAATTATGCTTTTCACTATTATTCCTAATAACCCACTAAAAAAGTTTGCTTCATCGTAAGAGTTAAAGAAAGAGGGAAGAAACACGAACTGTGGCTCAACTTAATGACAGATTTATTTTAGAGAAAATAAGCCTGAGAGGGGCTTCTGGCCAATTTTGGTAAGGAGCACTTTCTCTTACAGACTAAGAGTACATATTGGTTTTAGGAGAGGGGGCTTATTACAAGGTCGGAATGTTTCTGTGTCGGAGAGAAGTTTATGGTGGGGTTGGGATGTCTCTGGTCAGTGGGGAGGTTATCTCGGGGATGGCATCTTTCTGGCTGGTGGGGAAGTTAACTCTGGGCTGGCATGTCTCTTGTCAGGGAGGGGTTTGGAATGTTCCTGGTCAGATATGTTATTTGTGGTTTATGGTCATGCTGACCTTAACCATCAGGCTAATGCCCTTTGGGTTTAGACAGTTTGTGATCAAGGGGAACTTGAGGATGACAGTGCTTGTCCAAGATGGCGATGCTCCGGCTCTGTCACCCATCATCCCACAACATTGACACTGGAGGTCCTGGGGCCTAGAAAAGAAATGCTGTTACAGGAAACAGTCATGTTTCTGATGAATCGGAAGTTGAAGCTACTCCCTGCTCATTTGGGGTTCTGCAAGCCATAGACCAAGAAGCAAAGGAGGGGTTATGGTAGTGGGTAGAGGATGGATCCTGATCACAGGATGAAACTGGATTGCTGCTGTTGAAAAGGTGCGAGGAAGACAGTGTCTGAAATCAGAGACATCACTGGAGCACTCCTAGTCCAACAATCCTAGTCAATGGAAAACTGTGGTGACCCCCAAACACAATGCACCTGTCTTAGTCTGTTTCCCCTTGCTATAACAAAACACCTGTCTTAGTCTAACTGGGTAAATTATAAAGGAAAGAGGCTTATTTAGCCCATGGTTCTGGAGGCTGAGAAGTCCAAAATGGATGGTCACATTTGGTGAGGGCCTTGTGCTGCTTCAAGCATGGCAAAAAAGAGGAAGAAGAGGGCACGAGGCCAGAGGCAGCCTTGCTTTGTAACAACTGGCGCCTGCAGTAATTAATCGAGTCCCACAAGAAGAACTCCCATACTCCTGCGCTAATCCCTTCATGAAGCTGGATCCCTTACGATTCAAACACCCCTTAAATGTCCCACCACCTCTCAACATTGCACTGGGGACCAAGCCTCAAGATGAGTTTCGGTGGGGACAAACAATGTTCAAACAATTGCAGCAGCCGAGGACTCAGAGCCTGCAGGAATGAAGATTTGGGTCACCTCGCCAGGTAGAGGACCCTGTCCAAAAAGGTGCCAGCAGAGCTAAGGTGAGCACAGAATGGAAGTTATGATTAGCTGCTTAGGTTTGGGGGCCGGTTAAGGAGGTGGGGACTGTAGCAGCTACTTTTCATGAACTTGGGGCTTTTTTTCTTTCCCATCTCAATTGATTCCCCATCTTAATCCATTTGGGCTGCTGTAACAGAATACTATAGACTGGGTGTAATATAAATCACAGAGATTTATTTCCCACAGATCTGGAGGCTGGGAAGCCTCAGGTCGAGGGGCCAGCGGATTTGGCATCTGGTGAAGGCTTGCTTCGTGGCTTATAAACAGCATCTTCTTCATGTGACCTCATACGGCAGAAGGGGCAAGGGACTCCTCTGGGGCCTCTTTTATAAGAATTTAATCCCACTCATGAGGGCCCCATCCTTGTGCCCTAATCACCTACCAAAGGTCCCATCTCACAACATCCCCTTGAGGGTCAGGATTTCAACGCAGGGATTGCGAGGAAACGTAAACATTCACTCTGTTGGGCCGGGCACGGTGGCTCACACTTGTAATCCCAATACTTTCAGAGGCCGAGGTGGGCAGATCACTTGAGATCAGGAGTTCAAGACTAGCCTGGCCAACATGGCAAAACACCGTCTCTGCTAAAAATACAAACATTAGCCAGGTGTGCTGGTGTGCACCTGTAATCACAGATACTTGGGAGGCTGAGGCAGGAGAGTCACCTGAGCTTGAGAGGCAGAGGTTGCAGTGAGCAGAGATCATGCCAATGCACTCCAGCCTAGGGGACAAAGCAACATTCCATCTCAAAAAAAAAAAAAAGAAAAGAAAAGAAAAAAAGAAAAAAAACTCACTCTGTTTCACTCCCTTTTACTCATTACCTTAACTGAGGAATACCGGCAATTTCAGGTGGGAGTATGACCGGTTGACATCAGTCCACAATGATATGGTAGTTACTATGACTTATAGATCCCCTGTGTTAGGCGAACAAGCTCTTCACCTGGAAAAAAGTCTAGAGTGGGTGCTGAGGGGCCAAAGGCCTGGGCTGGGCTATTTACCTTTTGTTTGCCCCTCTGTATGCACCCCCTCGCCGTCTCCACCCCGCCCTCTGAGGCTGACCTGTGTGGTCCACATCCACAAACTCCCGTGGGAGGTGGCCACAGGGAGAGAAGAGACGGAGGTCAGGGTGTTTATTTCCCTGGCTGGCTGTATCCCTCAAGGGACAATGACTTCTTCTCTTCCTGGGGCCTCACAGCTCAACTCTCTCCCTGTGGATGCCAGGAACTGTTCTCCCCTTTCTCCCTTCAAGCTTCATGGGGGCACCACCTGGCTGCTGCTAAACTCTGGGTTACTGCACCATCCTTTGTGGTTCCCCGACACCCACACTTTGCAAATAAACTCTCCTCCAATGATCCTATTTTGAATGTGCCATCTGGTTCCTGGTGGGAGACCAACTAATACAGTGGGTTTTATGCCAAAATGACTCTGCTAACAGTTTCGTATTTGAACTGCAACTTGTGTCCTGGCATTTCCTCTTAAAATCAGAGCTGTTTTGAGGAGAGCCCGGGAGTGCCTGCCCCTAACACTGACAAAAGGCAAAAGGGCTAAGGAACACAATGTAATCACCTAACATGGTGCCTGGGGCAGATTCAACTGCTGGAATATTCCTTCCAACTCCCCACTTCCCTGTTACCCCGTTTAGGGTCCCAGGCTCCGTACTGCAAAGGAAGCTGCTGGAGGGAGTCGGCATCCTTTGTGTGCCTATAATGTAAGTTTGGGTTTTGAAGTAGGGAGGGGTTAGAGTAATTTTGGCAAAAAAAAAAAAAAAAAAAAAAAAGAGAGAGAGAGAGACAAGCTATGTTATTGAAGGCCTGCTCAATTCTTAAATGTTAATACACTTGCAAAAGGAAAGAAGAAAAGACATCTAATTTAGTAAGTTTGGAAACAAACAAAACCAGACTCCAAGCAGGACAAACCCAGTCCACTGGCAAGCAGGCGCAGACTGACTGCGAAGTTAATGAAGCTGAAGTCCCAGGCACTGCACTTGCCTGAGGCCCTTCAAACACTCTCATCCTAATTTTGTATTCATAATTTGATTCTTTTTCTTAAAGAGGCCCCGGCAAATTATTTAAGCTTCAGGGCCCACAAAACCAAGCTCCGCCCTCTGGCAAGTGATTATTTTGCCTCCTCTCCAAGACACAATGAGATTCTGTTTGGGAGACATCAGGGACCTTTTTGTCTGCCAACTTACCCCATCAGAATTTACATGCATTCTGGATTAATACAAACAAAATAACGGCTGGGAGGAGATGTGTGCTGTGCTCCGTGACAGTGGCAAGGCTGCAGCCGTGGCCACAAGGAGAGCTCTCACTCTCTGGGCTTCCCCTGTAATGAGGACATGTGAATGGGTGGGACGATAGACAGGAAACACTTCCCCAGCTTCTACCGGGGCAGGGCGTGCAACCACAGCAACCACAGGGCATTTGGCGATCATTTGACTTCCAAATCCAAATTAGAACATCACAACTGGCTGGGCACGGTGGCTCACGCCTGTAATCCCAGCACTTTGGGAGGCCAAGGCAGGTGGATCACCTGAGGTCAGGAGTTCGAGACAAGTCTGGCCAACATGGTGAAACCTCGTCTCTACTAAAAATACAAAAATTAGCCAGGCGTGGTGGTGGGCGCCTGTCCCAGCTACTCGGGAGGCTGAGGCAGGAGAATCGCTTGAACCTGGGAGGCGGAGGTTGTGGTGAGCCAAGATTGTGCCACTGCACTCCCAGCCTGGGTGACAGAGACTCCGTCTCAAAAATAAAAACAAAAAGAATCACAACCACCATTAACTACTACCTCGAAACCCTGTGGCTTCACATCGTGGCGTGGGAGTTGTCCTCAGCTCCTCATGCCAGGGGTAAAGACTCTTAATTAGTCAAAAAAAAGGTGCCATCAGATTTGCACCAGAAGTCTAACATTTTGCGAATCCTTTGACCCTGTCGTTCCATGTCTAGGAGTCTGTTGTAAGGAAATAATACTACAGTGCATAAAGACATGAGTACTCAGGTGTTCATTCTCCCCAGTGCTGTTTGTACGAAAAAAAGGAATAAACTGAAATATTTATGTTTATTCAGTGTTTAGTGATAAATAATTAATTAAATAAATGTTGGCACATCCACATAGTAGAATGTTGTGAGGCCATTAACATTAGAAGGTGGTAGAAAACATAATGATGGCTGCGCACAGTGGCTCGTGCCTGTAATCCCAGCACTTTGGGAGGCCTAGGTGGGCGGATCACCTGAGGTCAGGAGTTCAAGACCAGCCTAGCCAATGTGGCGAAACTCCATCTCTATTAAAAATACAAAAAGTAGCCAGGTGTGGTGGCACATGCCTGTAGTCCCAGCTACTCAGGAGGCTGAGGTAGGAAAATCACTTGAACCTGGGAGGCAGAGGTTGCAGTGAGCCAAGGTCAGGCCACAGTACTCCAGCCTGGCCAGCAGAGCGAGTCTCCATCTGAAAAAAAAAGAAAGAAAAGAAAAGATAATGACATGGAAAGATAAACACGTTATGAACAGACCTGGGGGTGGGCCCTGTGGTCTCACTCCCTGGTGTTCACACCCAGTGTAACTTCCTCCCCTGGAGTGCCAGTAGGACCTGCAACTTCCTTCCAGCTAATAGACTGAAAAAGGTGAGGGAGTTTTGCAGACTTAATTAAGGTCCTAAGTCAATTGATTTTGAAGTCAAGGGGGCATTTTCATGGGTGGGCCTGACTAAATCAGGTGGAAGTCTTTGAAAGAGTATCTGGGCCCTCTCAGAGGGTCTCTCAGAGACTCTCCATCTATTGCTGACTTTGAAGAAGGAAGCTTCTATGTGGTGACAGGGTGGCTTGGCAAGGAACTACTGTAGTCTCTAGTTGCTAAGGACTATCCCTGGCTGACAGCCAACAAGAAAACAGGAACCACAGTTCTAGTCCTACAACCACGAGGGGAAGAATTCTGCCAACAGTCTGAGGAGCTTGCGGGCCAATGTTAAGCCTTAGATGAGACCAGTTGAGCCTCCGATGAGACCACAGCCCCAGCCGACACCTGGACAGCAGCCTGGTAAAGCTCTGAAGCAGAGAACGTAGGTGAGCTGGGCCCAAATTTCTGCCCTCAGAAAAAGATGTGTGTTGTTTTAAGTTCCTTACTTTGTGGGTGGGGGGTGGGGAGGCAGGTTATGAAATACTGTGCAGGCCGGGCGCGGTGGCTCAAGCCTGTAATCCCAGCACTTCGGGAGGCCGAGACGGGTGGATCACGAGGTCAGGAGATCGAGACCATCCTGGCTACCCGGTGAAACCCCGTCTCTACTAAAAAATACAAAAAAACTAGCTGGGTGAGGTGGCGGGCGCCTGTAGTCCCAGCTACTGGGGAGGCTGAGGTAGGAGAATGGTGTAAACCCGGGAGGCGGAGCTTGCAGTGAGCTGAGATCCAGCCACTGCACTCCAGCCTGGGCCACAGAGTGAGACTCTGCCTCAAAAAAAAAAAAAAAAGAAAAAGAAAAAAGAAATAATGTGTAGCACAATCCCATTTTTGACTTAGAAAATGGGGTCTTCACACATACTTAGAAAAAAACCTGAAACAAGTGCCAAAACACAGATGTTATATAAGGACTACAAAGGTATTATAAAATAGATATGATTAAAATGTCTAGATGCATGTCAGGAATTAAAAGCATAAGAAAAGAATAAAACACTATGACTGGGTACCATGGTTTGAATGTTGTCCCCTCTGCAATTTATGTTGAAACTTCATCCCCACTGTGTCAGTATTAAGATGTGAGGCCTGGCTGGGCACAGTGGGTTCACACCTGTAATCCCAGCACTTTGGGAGGCTGAGGTGGGTGGATCACGAGGTCAAGAGATCGAGACCAACCTGGCCAACATGGTGAAACCACAACCACATCTCTACTAAAAATACAAAAATTAGCTGGGGGTGGTGGTGGGCACCTGTAGTCCCAGCTATTTGGGAGGCTGATGCAGGAGAATCACTTGAACCCAGGAGGTGGGGGTTGCAGTGAGTTGAGATTGTGCCACTGCACTCCAACCTGGTGACAGAGTGAGACTCCGTCTCAATAAAATAAAATAAAAAGGTGGGGGGGTCCTTTAAGAGGGGATTGGGTCATTGGGTCATGAGGGCTCTTCCCTCATGAATGGATCAATCAGTTCATGGATTAATGGGTTATCATGGGACTGAGTAAGTTATCATCAGAGTGATTCTCTTACAAGAAGCCAGTTTGGCTGGGTGTGGTGGCTCACACCTGTAATCCCAGCACTCTGGGAGGCTGAGGAATGAGGATCACTTGTGCCCATGAGTTTGAGACCAACCTCGGCAACATAGGGAAACTCTGTTTCTACAAATAATAAAAAGAAATTAGCTGGGCATGGTGGCACACACCTCTGGTCCAGCTACCCAAGAGGCTGAGGTGGGAGGGTCAATTGAGCCTGGGAGGTCGAGGCTGTGGTGAGCTGTGGTTGTGCCACTGCACTCTAGCCTGGGCGACAGAGGGAGACCTTGTCTCAAAAAAAAAGAAGCCAGTTTACCCATCTCTCATAAACTCCTCTCCATGTGATGCCCTTGCTGCCTTGGGACTCTGTAGAGAGTCCCCACCCACAATAAAACATCATCAGATGTGGGGTCTAGCCCTTAAGACTTCCCAGCCTTGGCTGGGCGCAGTGGCTCACGCCTGTAATCCTAGCACTCTGGGAGGCTGAGGCAGGCAGATCATGAGTTCAGGAGATCAAGACCATCCTGGCTAACATGGTGAAACCCCGTCTCTACTAAAAATACAAAAAATTAGCCGGGCGTGGTGGCGGGCGCCTGTAGTCCCAGCAACTCCGGAGGCTGAGGCAGGAGAATTGTAAGAACCCAGGAGGCGGAGCTTGCAGTGAGCCGAGATGGCGCCACTGCACTCCAGCCTGGGTGACAGAGTGAGATTCTGGCTCAGGAAAAAAAAAAAGGAAAAAAAAAAAAAAGGGGGTGCCGGGCGCGGTAGCTCACGCCTGTAATCCCAGCACTTTGGGAGGCCAAGGCGGGCGGATCACGAGGTCAGGAGCTCAAGACCATCCTGGCTAACACGGTGAAATCCTGTCTCTACTAAAAATACAAAAAATTAGCCAGATGTGGTGGTGGACGCCTGTAGTTCCAGCTATTCGGTAGGCTGAGGCAGGAGAATGGCACCAATCCAGGAGGCGGAGCTTGCAGTGAGCCGAGATCCTGGGCTATGGAGCAAGACACTGTCTTTAAAAAAAAAGATAAAAGAAAGAGACACATGTTGAGACTTTTTCAGAATTAATTTCTGCCGCCTTGGCCTCCCAAAGGGCTGGGATTACAGGTGTGAGCCACCACGCCCGGCCAAGTGAACGTTCTTAATGTCCCTGAAATGTACACTTAAAAGTGGTTAAGATAGAAAATTTTATGCCATGTATATTTTACCTCAACAAAAAACATGCCAAGCAACCCTAGCAGATCCATGCATGAACAGCAGAGGTATAAAAGCATGCAGGGGACTGATACACCATACATGACAGGAGAGCAGTCATGCCTGGGTGGGTGAGGAACCCAGGTAGGAAAGAGAACACAAAACACAGGATGCTTTTGGTGGATCTGTTTTGCTTCCGTTCTAAAAACAGAATCTAACACCCTTACATTTCTTACCATTATATTCTAAACTTTTCTTTTTTCTTTTTCTTTTTTTTTTCTTTTTTTTTGAGATGGAGTTTCGCTCTTGTTCCCCAGGCTGGAGTGCAATGGTGCAACCTCTGCTCACCGCAAGCTCCACCTCCTGGGTTCAAGCAATTCTCCTGCCTCAGCCTCCCGAGTAGCTGGGATTACAGGCATGCGCCACCATGTCCAGCTAATTTTGTATTTTTAGTAGAGACAGGATTTCTCCATGTTGGTCAGGCTGGTCTTGAACTCCCGACCTCAGATGATCTGCCCGCCTTGGCCTCCCAAAGTGCTGGGATTACAGGCGTGAGCCACAGTGCCTGACTCTTTTTTGTTTTCTTTCTTTCTTTCTTTTTTTTTTTTTTTTTTGAGACGGAGTTTCACTCTCGTTGCCCAGGCTGGAGTGCAGTGGCACCATATCGGGTCACAGCAACCTCCACCTCCTGGGTTCAAGTGATTCTCCTGCCTCAGTCTCCTGAGTAGCTGGGATTACAGGCGCCCGCCACCATGCCCAGCTAATTTTTTGTATTTTTAGTAGAGATGGGATTTCTCCATGTTGGGCAGGCTGGTCTCAAACTCCCGACCTTAGGTGATTTGCCCACCTCAGCCTCCCAAAGTGCTGGGATTACAGGCGTGAGCCACCGTACCTGGCTGGCTGACCCCCTCTTTATCCTGGGAACAAACTCCTCTGTTCCCTGGGTCCCTGCAGCCGCCTCGGCGTATTTGGCATCATCCTTGCCAAGTCTGGAGCAGGGGCTCGTGTGTGGTGTTGTCTCCCCTGGTAGTCTCCAAGTCAGAAGATCCTTCCTGACCCACCCTCTCCAGGCTAACCCACCACATCGTCATTGCAAGAATCCCAGCAGTGGAGGGTGGAGAAACTGCCTGGGGAATCTGAGCTATTAAACAAGCTGTCGGATCCACAGGGGCTGCAGCAGCAAAGGCTGCCTTTTCTGGGGAAACCTGGAAGGGTCTTTTTGAGTCAACAGTAGGTGCCCTGCTGGCCTTGCTGCACTTGCTGCACTTGTTGTTTGCAGAGGTCTGGGTGTCTGGAATTCACTTCCAAGGCTGTGAGGAAGGTGGTCAGCATTCCAGCACAGTGTCACCTGCCACAGCCTCCTCCTTCCCCAGCAGGTGACCCCTTCCCCCTTGAACCTGAGATGAAGGTGTTTGCTATGATCTCACCTCCATGTTACTGACAAGGTCTCCATTCCCCTGGCTGTGCTGAGCCTCTGTGGCCATGGGTGTCCTCTGAGCTCTCATGCAAATGGTGAAGCCAAGCCTGGACTGCACGTGGACCATGGTAAGGCCCCAGAGGACACAGTCCTATTTGCTGCTTTGAGGCTGATCTTTGCTTATTTGACCACCAGGGTTACCCTGAGGCTGCAAGTGTGGAAGTAATGTCCAGGTGGGTCCCTGCCACCCTCCCTCCAGCCACAGACTTGTGTTATGTGAGGCTCAGAGTGAGAAGGGTCCTGAAGGAGCAGCTTTGTGGTGATTGGCTGACAATACTCTCAACATGCCTCCTCTGAGCCTTCTGGAATATTTGCCAGCAACATGACTGAGGCCTACACAGTGCGGCGGAGGGCACGGTCCTCTGGGCCCCTCAGCTGCTGAAATGGAGTCAACTGTGGTGTTTCTACCCATAAGCGAAACAGGTGCATGGCTGACTATCTGCGCGGCTAAAATACATCATTTCCAACTTTTTTTTTTTTTTTTTTGAGATGGAGTTTCCCTCTTATTCCCCAGTCTGGAGTGCAATGGCACAGTCTCAGCTCACTACAACCTCTGCCTCCCAGGTCCAAGCAATTCTCCTGCCTCAGCCTCCCAAATAGCTGGGATTACAAGCATGCACCACCACACCCAGCTAATTTTGTATTTTTAGTAGAGACGGGGTTTCACCATGCTGGTCAGGCTGGTCTCGAAACTCCTGAGGTCAGGTGATCCACCCGCCTCAGCCTCCCAAACTGCTGGGATTACAGGTATTAGGCACCCCACCCGGCTTATCATTTCCAACTCTTACAATGGCTTTTGAAGAGAGCTGTTATTATCCCCACTTTGCCAAGGAAGAAACTGAGGCTCAGAGAAGTCATATGACTTGCCTGCATGCAAACTAAATGTGGTTTCAGAAGTCAAAGGCAGGTGGTCCCGGGGGGTGGGGCGGTGGGGTGGGCAGGCCCGAGCTCTGTGCTAGGGCAGGTGCTCTTTTGGCCCCAAGTTCTTGCCGTTACAGGCAGCACTGATTGAGGAAAGTGAGTGGGAGGTAATAGACCATAGTAGTTTCACAGCAGCAAATGACTGTCACGGTAAGGAAAAGCTTGTTCCTTGCCTGCTTATTTATTTATTTATTTAACTACCACTCACCACAACAGAAACTGGTTATCTGCAGGTGCACAGCTATTCTAAGAGAGTGAACGGGTGTGCAGCTTCCTATTAGAGCTCTGAGGATCAGTCAGAGCCCTCCTGGCCTGGCCCGCCCTGCCCTGCCCTGCCAGCTCTGCTACCCCAGGAGGCCACCTCATGTGCCGGCTGCTTCACTGCTGGCCTGACCCCAAGGCCAACCTATGGCCTTCCAGGGCCCTTTCCCTTCCTGTCCAAATGGGGCCAAACCAAGCAGGTGGTGCACTTTTTTTTTTTTAAAAAGACAGAGTCTCGCTCTGTTGCCTCAACCTCCCCAGTAGCTGAGACTACAGGCACCCACCACCACACCCGGCTAATTTTTGTATTTTTAGTAGAGATGGGGTTTCACCATGTTGGCCAAGCTGGTCTCAAACTACTGACCTCAGATGATCCACCCACCTGGGCCTCCCAAAGTGCTGGGATTAAAGGTATGAGCCATCGAGCCCGGGTCTGATAGACTCTTTTTAAAAATTCTCAAAAATGTCTGGGCGTGGTGGCTCACACCCGTAATCCCAGCACTTTGGGAGGCCGAGGTGGGTGAATCACCTGTGGTCAGGAGTTCAAGACCAGCCAGGCCAACATGGTGAAACCCCGTCTTTACTAAAAATACAGAAATTAGCTGGGTGTATGGCACATGCCTATAGTCCCAGCTACTTGGGAGGCTGAGGCAGGAGAATCGCTTGAACCAGGGAGGCGGAGGTTGCAGTGAGCCGAGATCACGCCACTGCACTCCAGCCTGGGCAACAGGGGAAGACTCTGCTTCAAAAAACAACAAAAAAAATTATCAAATGATTTTATTATCAGCTGTAGCACAACCCAGGAAGGGGCATACAACACATATGGCAGTTTAACAGATCACTGTGAAGCAGACACCTGGAAATCGAGTGGTGACAGGGCCTTGCCAACATCCCAGAAGCCGGAAGTGTGCAGTTCCACACCATCCCGGCCTCGCTGCCCAAAACTGAGGATGTCGGGAAGCGTTTGCCCCAGAGCTCAGGTGAGAGGTCTGGGGATCCAGAGCTGGTGTCTACAAGACAAGGCAGGTGTGAGAAGCTGTGGGTGTACATGCTCAGTGTCACCTGATGTTTGGGTTCATATATATGGATATTAGTCCTTGGTTCCTTATGCATTAACCGACACCCTTCCTTCACCCTCTTCCTACAGTGAGGTCTACCTCTCACATCCAGAGGGAGGTTGAAGTTAGGCCAGGCAGAGACGTGCTACAATATACCTTGTAAGGACATTAGAACCTGGACGGAAATGTAATGGGAATGAAGGAAAGTGTGTGACCGGAAGGCCCCTGGAGAAGAGAGCAGATGCTCAGAGGAAGGATCTGCTTGAGTTTCCCTTCAGCTGTGACAGAAATCTGAAAACCAGTGCCTTCAACAACTAAGAGGGTTGTTTTTTCATGTCACAGAAGTCTACAGCTGTTGTGACTCAAAGTTGCATTGAGAACCCAGTCTCTTTCTGCCTTCCTGGGCTGCTGTCTGAAGCAGGTGGCTGTCGGCCGAGGTTTACTGCCTTGTGGATGCAAGGTGGTTGCTGCAGTGCCAGCCTTTCATCTGCATCAAGGCAGGAAGAGGGAGGGCAAAGGACTCAATGCAGAGCCGGTTGGGTTGAGTCTCTCCCCTTTTAGGAGCCTGCCTCGGATCCACTTGCAGTGATGTCCACTTATGTCTCATTTGCCAGAACTCGGTCCCTGGCCACCCTGCACTGTAGGGGAGCCTGGAAAATCACCTTAAACAAAGCTGGTCACACCAATACCCTGAGAACAGACATTGAGAAGGAAACTAGTAGCTTTTCCTCCAAGAAATAATTTGCAGTGAGGACAATGAGACATCCCTCCCCGAAGCTGCTTTCTAAGGATGGTGGGCCCAGGAGGGTTCAGAGCCCTTACTGCATGGGGTGAAACTTGGGGTCAGAGCTGAGTTGCTGAGGACTAAGAAGAGGCTGAGCTGCGTCTCCTGTGGTGCCCTTCCCAGCCCTTCACACAGCTTGCAGCTTCTCCTTGAAATCAAAGCTGAACCCATATTTTAAAGTGTTCTGTTTTTCCCACCAATGACGTATCTGCTTGTAAATATGTTAAGAAAGGCTGGGCAGACAAGCTAAGTGGTGAGATGTTGGTGGGGACTCAGGTGCACACAACCCTGAGGGCAGCCCAGAGCTGTGTCCTTATGGGCTAGGGCTTCACCGTATTGGTCAGGCTGGTCTTAAATTGCTGACCTCCGGTGATCCGCCTGCCTCGGCCTCCCAAAGTGCTGGGATTGCAGGCGTGAGCCACTGTGCCTGGCCCTATCTTCCTTTTAGACTTGTAAGAGATCTCTACATATTACAGATATCAATATGTACCTAGTATAGCAACTGAAAGGGGCACCAAATGATTGTGTCAACATTCCAGGTTGAGGTTTCATTCAGGGGTGGGGTCCTGTGCTCTGCAGGAGGATGAAGTCCCAGCCCAAAAGCCCGTCTGGTGGAGGTCAGACTCCTCCTAACCACACACACACAGGAATCACTCTTAGATTTACAGTCAGAATTAGAGACGTTGAGACATTTTAAAAACAGGAGCGTGTGAGTTGAAATATAAATTTCCACCTTCCTTCAACAAATCAGGATCCCCCAGTCCCACAGCAGCTGCCCTCTGCAGCAACGGCCTCCCTTACACAGGAATACGCTTCCAGTTCAGCCCAGTTCCCATCACCCCAAGACTAGGTCCCCAACACTCACTTCCTCCTTGCGCTGTTGGCTCTCTTATCCCCAACATATTTTGCACGTTCCTGTTCCTGGAATTTGAGTTTGCAACACTGATCTAGAGCAAAGCCTTCCATTTATATACAGGCAACGGGGAATGGTAGAGGTTCTTGCCCAAGGGCACACAGCCTATGATGGTACAGCCAGGCCTTCAGTGGGTCTCCTCGGACCTAGTCTCTCCTGGAGATGAACTAATACTGCAGATCCCAGGAACTGCAGAGCCTGGGGGAGAAAGGGGATGTAACTTGAGTTGGGGTCACTTGGTTGCATCTGAATTTGCTGGTATTGGGCTGTAGCAGTGGAATTCCTGGCCTGGCAGGGAGATGCCTAGTTGTCTCGGCATGGTGGCCCCCTCACCCCATGCCCTGTTCCCACGGGGAGAGAGGAAGCCACAGTGGTTGAGGTGAAAACCAGAGGTTGTGCAGCCCTGGCAGACAGAAGCAACCACGGGCAGCTGCAGCAGGCTGGTGCCTGGCCCACAGGCACCCTCCACACCCTTTCTGCAAACATTGCTGCCATGTGCAGAATTTTGGAAACGTGCAAAGCCTGAGAGTGGGTGCTCAGGAGCCCTCCCTGGTGTGTGCAGGCAGCCCTTGGCGACCCAGCCCAAACCCCAACCATGGACATCAGGCAGCTGAGGGTTAAAAAAAAAAAGTTATTGATGCACAGATGGCTGTGGTTTGCGTAGAGGAGTAGGAGGAGGGAAATGGACCCTTCCTTGTCTTGCTCCAGGCTTTGGTTGAGACGTAGGCCCTGCCCTGGGAGGAGGGGGCGGCAATGAGGCACACAGGCTGGTGGCCAGGCTGTCAAGCAGCAAGCCTGCCCCTTGGTGGTCTGCCCGCTGCCCTACCTGTGTCCTCCCAGCCGGCTCCTCCTCTCCTCTTGTTTCACGGAGTTCTCTCCTCCTCTGTCTCCCCTGACTGCAGGCTCATGTCCTATTTACCCTGTGGGATCTCTCCTGTCCAGGGATGACTCAGAGATGGGTCTGGAATGTCAGGAGAGCCAGAATGCAAACAGAGATGAGTTCAGACCTGCCCCCACGATCAACCCACCAACGTCGGGCAAATCTCCCCTGCAACCATCGTGTGGTTCTCCGTAGAATGAGGGGCTTGGCCTAAAAGAACTTGAGGCCCCTCATCCAGGCATAATAGGCCCCATAATAGGCACTGGACCTGCAGGCCTGATACTAGATGCAGCTGCCTGAGCCTGGCCTGAGGTCTAACCAGAGCCCACCTCCCTCCGTCTCCTCTTCTAAGCTGCCCCTTGAACTATGCAGACTTCTTCTCAGGATAGTTCTAGCAAACTTTCTGCTCTAGCTTCCTAGCCTGGGTGTGAGAGGCGGCCTAAGGGCCTGACCACAGCACCTGGGCTCAAGCCCAGACCCTAACGCTCTCTCTGTGACCCGGGGCAGGTCAAGGCTCTTTCCTGACCCTGAGTTTCCATCACCAGGAACAGAGATGAGTGACCCTGTCCTGCCTCCTGGACTCAGGCAATATCCACCCTTCATTCCTCATGGATTTATGGAGCTGTGGCCACATCAGACACTTTACCAGCTCCTGCAAGAACAATAATAATAGAAGCAAAACAGTAACAGAAGCACAGTTTGAAGTAGAGTGAAGTTAGGACCCGCTGGTGCGGGTGAGCGGAGGGTGTGTTAGAGAGGACAGGGAGGAAAGGTGTCTCCGAGGAGGTGATGTGTGAGCAGAATTGTGGCAGGAACCATTGCTGAGCTGACCTGGGAGAGGACAGTCCCGGCACGGAAAGGACCGTGCAGAGGCCCTGAGGCACTGTTCAGGGATTGGAAGAAGGCCTCTGTGACTGGGGCAAAGTGGGAACAGGTCCAGGGAGAGCAGGGCTCCAAGCAAGAGGGTCTGGGCTTGGGCTCCAGTGGTAGGACTAGGGACGGGATAAAACCCCATACCCTTTCCCCAGGTGAGGGGATGTGGATGAGCAAAGTGGCTCAGGATGGGGCTGAGCAAGCAGTAGCACTGATTCCTCCTGAGACGGAGGCCTGGCTCAGGAGCTCAGGGAAAGAGAGAGCCCAGCAGGCAGTGAACATCTACCCGCTGGTGCCAGAGGTAGTGCAGGCAGCCCAGAGGAGACAGGACAGGCTGGGGTTTCCTGGGGAGGCTGGGGAGCCTTCCTGGAGGAGGCCAGGCGTTAGAAGTAGATGCTGCCCTTCTGACCTCAGAAGTTCTTTCTAGAGGGCTCCCTCCGGTAGGGCCCGAAGGCAGCACTGCGCCAGGGAACGACTCCCAGGCCACGAAGTACAGAATCCTGCAGGCACAGCGCTTGGCCGCCCTGAACGCAGTCCTCTGGGATGAGGAGACCGGTGCCTGGTTCGACTACGACCTTGAGAACAAGAAGAACCAGGAGTTTTACCCATCCAACCTCACTCCACTCTGGGCCGGGTGTTTCTCTGATCCTGGCGAGGCAGACAAGGCTCTGAAATACCTGGAGGTGAGGGCACAGCAGGTGGTTCGTGTCCACTGCAGGCAGCACCGCCCCCTCCCGACCCTGAGCAGGACCTGCAGGGAAGGCCGCTTCCTCAGGCGGTGCCCCTTGTTCCAGCCTGCGGGTCTCGCGGAGCCACCGGGGGGCAGCTGTGAGCCGAGAAGAGAAGGGCCAGGAAGGGGACATCTGGCTTCCCGCCGGGCCCAGCGTCCTGGCTCCCAGTCCAGCCCCACCCACAGTCACGGGAATGTCTGGAACCTTCTAGGGCAGCCGGATCCTGATCTACCAATATGCCCCAGAACTGAATCCGAACCAACTTTGATGTCTACTCGCAAAAGGCAGCCATGTATGAGAAGGTGAGCTGGCCCGAGCCCTCCCCGCACCCCAGGGCGTCCCCGTGGTGAGGCGGGAGGGTCAGGCTTGGCAGGGCCCAGGGCCAGCGCAGCTGGGATGGTGGCGGCGCCCAGTGGCCACTCCTGGGCACTGCAGGGGCTGCTGGGCAGGCAGAGCGACTTCTCCCCACAAGGATCCCATTGTTTGTTGTCCCTGTGGCTGGGGGTGGGGTGGGGTGGGGCAGTGCATGACCTACGGCCCTCCCTCTTATTCCCAGTATGACATTAGCAATGGTGGACAGCCCGGTGGCAGAGGGGAGTATGAAGTTCAGGTGAGCAGGCCAGGGGCGGGCTGGCCATCGCCCTACAGGGAACTCCTGGGCTCTGCTGCCACGACCCCCACCCCAGGCCTCAGTGTGCTCACCTGCATGTCGGCCCAGGGGACGAGCTGACTGGTGCTTCCTGTACTGCTGGGGTTAGGCAGGGCCAGTGCCCCTGGGGAGAGCACCCAAAGTCGCCACCAAGGGTCTGGGGCTTCCCCAGAAACCGGGCCCCACTGCCCTGCCTCTCCCAGGAGGGCTTTGGCTGGACAAACGGCGTGGTCCTGATGCTGCTGGACCGCTATGGTGACCGGCTGACCTCAGGGGCCCAGCTGGCTTTCCTGGAGCCCCACTGCCTGGCGGCCACCCTTCTGCCCAGCCTCCTGTTCAGCCTCCTGCTGTGGTGA